ACACACAGTGAAACATTACAATGCTGCACGCATGACAAACACGCACGTACTAATAGTACATGAACTCGATTTAGATCTGCGACTCATGATACAGGTCAAATAAAAAAAATCAGAAAGGGACCAAAGGGCGTGCTATTGACTTGGGCAACAGTGAAGCTGTATATCAAATTTTATACATACCTGTAAGTAATCAGGATGATAACGAAAATTAGTAAGCCGTCGGTCAGGGAAGCCTAAATTTCCCCGAATATTCCTGCAGAGTAGACGCCGGTTCATGGCCTGATCGTCGTGACGCTTCTTTCAGGCTTGCTCAGCATGAGCAAAAGGGCACGGAAGGGTAGACGATGAGTAAGCATACGCAAAACATAACCAGGCCATCGGAGGTGGTGTAGAGCGATCAATTCTTTAAAGAGCGACTATCTGCATCCAACACATGACGACGGACCTCGTCATTGCTCACCCAATGTTCCCATCAGACACGCGCAATGCTTCGGAGACACTGATGATCGAATACAGAAAGTCGATAGCATCCTGTGCTCGGAGAGGCCAGGTCTCGCAATTGTAAAGCAGAACACTAGAAACCGCGGTGATGTAGACCCCTCCCTTAAGGGTCAGATATTGAGGGGGAAGGGCATCGAACAAACCAAACTTGGAATCCCTTAGATCCACATTGAAAAGGAACAATCAAAGCAAAGGGCTTCCTTAGTGCTAGCTCATGTCTGTACATCAAACAGCAAAACGGACCTCCATTGTGCTTCTCTGAGCCGAGTCCAAGAATCAGAAGAGACACTGATAGGAGAGCATTTGAGGACATGACGATTAACTATACCGAATATCTATGTCGGATCCCACGCAGTTCCTACCAAACGTGGTCAACGCTTCTGCTAAACTTTTTCGAAAACAGAGCCAGTAAAATACGGGGAACTTTGATAGTCAGTTAGCATCGGCATCACACTAGTGATGGGCAGTCGAACCGATGATGTCAAAGAAACGAAGTATGTGACTTTGCGCAAAACGGAACTGAGGCGTCCATGAGGATTGAGAAGAAATCTGAGGTGTATTCATAAACTAGGTGTGAAAATTTGGTGCATCAACCCACGTTTATTTAGAGGCGTCTATCAGCCAGGCGAAGAAAGTAACAAACAGTGCACTGAACAAACTAGTCACTAAAAACAAAAGAGATAACTTACGCGACTGTGATACAGGCCTCACGAACCACGGACGAACGTAGATCGCGTAGACATGTATCAAGCGGGACCTCCAGCGTTTTGAGCAGCGGCACAAATTCGTCGAACTGCGCAGCACCATTCGCAACTAAAGCACGCAACGTTTTCAGCTAAAGAATGGAAAATATGATTAAACCGAATTGGGTTTTTACCGCATCAACACGTTTTTCCCATTCCTCGGGATTTCCTGATAATATTTCTTTGAGCCTGTTGACAATTTCGACCAATTCCTTCGGGGAATAGGCCTGTAGACAAATCGGGATTCTGTGTGAGACTATTAGCTAGATTGCTTACCGAAATTGACATGGCCGGAACGAAAGACTGGTAGAACACATCTTCATCCACAGCACCTGCACCTGAAATGCATCGGGTTGAACGAGGAGACTTATCAGCACACCATGTCCAGGATGATGAAAATCACCGAGGAAAATAGTAAAAAACAGATTCAACAAAAGAAACAATTCGAGACAACACATGAACTACCTGAAAGAGAACAAGTTCGTAATCGGATGCAAGGGGTTTTACAATCATGCGATTCACTGCAGCGATTCATGATGATCTGATGAATGTGAGAGAGAGAGAGAGGAGAAAACCGAACGGGGACGAGGGAGAGAAAAAATCACATCTCCGAATTTTTGAATGAATGGATTGAATTGAATGAATGAATGAATGATTGAATGAATGAATGAATGAATGAATGAATGAATGAATGAATGAATGAATGAATGAATGGAAGATGTATTTCAGCCGAGTGTGCATAGGACAGTTCTGTGCAGAAAGATCGCAGACGAGTGCAATTGGTGACAATGAAAAATATAACAATCAACATTGGAGGTAGGAGAGGACACAGTGAGATACAGCACATCGTATTGCAATTGAGCATGCGAACCCGGTGCTGTTTATCGAGCGAAATACCTTGATTATCGCCAGTGGAACGCTTTCGTTCCATTGAGATGTCTGGGTAATAAATGAAGGATGAAACAGCATTCAAGAGGAGCTACTAGAATGTGTGAATATGTACGGATAGATGTATGGATGTGACAAGCAAGCAATTGATCAACGAGAATACACAGAATTTTGGAGTATACCTGCAGAATTAGAACTTTTCAGTGGTCCACTGTGTTTGCGTTCAAGCCCATCGGAAGCGTATCTGGACATAGCAGGTGCTAAAAATCAGAAAACCCGAAGGTGAGGAACAGAATCAAAGCACACCAGCGGTATCAGATATGCATCACAAAGTAACAGTTGCCGGAAAAATTGACCCCATACAGCGTACAACCCTCCTAGATGAGTTACGAAGCAAAACCTACAGCTCATTTTTTTAAAATCTGATAAGCATGCGCTAAGACAGAGACTAAACATGGATGCGAACCTGACCTAGATTCACGGTTTTTGTGAAACTGAACACCATGAAAACTTCTCAAAATCCGTTAAACATTGATAGATGAAAAAAATCTTCAAATCACTCTTTGAATGGTTACACATTATCAAGTTGCATGAATCACAGTAAAGACAGCAACCTCGAAATCCCGTTCAACCATAAGAAACGGTGAAATATTACCGGAACCAAAAAGTGCAGGACAAAAAGGAATTTCGTAAGCACGAGTAATACGTGGAAGCAATAGCCGAAGCAAGTCCACATGCCCGTGCAGCTCACAGACAAACCACCAGAGAGGCCTTAGACGCAGAAAAGCAATTGCGACGGTATCGGTCGACCGCAGTAAGGATAGGAGACGAACAAGACATGCTGAGGTCTTCCATCGCAAAAATACCTTCGTGCGTGTATGAAGACGGGTGAACCGGTAAAGGAACTCATCTTTGATATACTACATCTAGTGTCCCTATTTCACTCAGTTAGTCAACTTAGCAAAGGATGAACACAAAAAAATTTTTGCCAGTCGTAGATTCGTCAACCGAATTGTGAGGATTCGCCTTTGTGAGTGAAAAAAGCTATAACCAGATGCAATCCATCGCTTAATTTCCCTATCTGAGCGTCCACAGACCGAGAATTAAATGGTCACGAGAGCCGGTACGGATTTCAATGCCTGGAAGCAGAAACTGACGATGAAGTCAGAATGCCAGCGCAGAAAGAATAAAATATGGTAAACCTCAATCTCACCATACAAGCTGAATAAGTCGCAAAGCGGATGGTACAAAAATTATGAAATCGGTATTATGTTCACATGTATGCAATAAAAAAAAACAAGGGTATTCATGTGTGGAATGACCTTTATTTATTGCGTGGTAACGCGGAAACAAACTAACTGTCCGGTTCGCATAGAATTTTAAGGCAAAGCCGCATGACCGTGACATACAAGCGAAAGCAAACACCATCGGGAAAATAAGGTTCACTTCAGTTCAGTTCAGTTTGTACAACCATTAACTACGCATATTCGTGCGCCGGTTTTGGTTGCTGTCTTTTGG